TTCGCTCAGAAAGCTGTGTGAAGCTCAACGAACAAAAAGCAAACATTATGTACATCGATATCTAGTAAGAGAAACAACTGGGAAACATATAAAAATAGCCATTGTTTAAGTTAGTAAGTCACTCAACCCTAACGCACCGCGGCTACACAAATCGAAGGTGATGGATTGACAGTGGTGATCGCGGTGACGATCAATTAACATCTACGCGATAAGTACAGGTGGATATACACACATGAACCGTGCGGATTTAGCGGCAGCTGTAATACTTAACTTGATTTCGTAATTGCTGAAGCCATCTATGCCATGGTTTATTGACACTTATGTAAAGGGTACATGAGTCGACTTTCTCTTGATGCAGTATAACGAAAGACGGTAAACATAAATAGCAGGACGCTGATCTGGACTATTATGCATCGCATACATTAGCTAATTCACTCTACTTCGAACATCTCCAGTAAGAGGATGACCTGGCTTCTTAAATATCTCGGGTCATAGCTGCACAGATGCGGCGATCCGAAGCTAGAGCCTCAGAGAAGGCTAACTAACTTTCGTTACAACTGCAGAGTCCCAGATTCTCGAAACCGAACTTAACGGAAGATAACCAGATTTCAAGCTGCCTACCTCAGCGGCTCCATCGCGAAGGGTCAGGCGTTTAACCAGTTCCGTTCCGTGCACTGCGCTGCCTAAGTGATGGAGGCGACAATGTTGAACGACCATTGTCATACCTTGAATGTTGTAGCATCAACGTCACACTTCACGGTTGCAACTTTTGTCCGTTCACGATATATCTTGGGCACTAGTGATCCAGAATATTTAAGTTGCTCACATTTTCGACACCCCTTTTTGCCCTTGAATATACTTACTAGACCTAAGATGACCGATTGCGTTTCACACAACTAAAATTTAGCATTGAATTTCGAACAAGCGGGACGAGACGAGCACTGTTTGATAATGGAATGGTCAACCGTGTATTATGAAGAACTATAAAATAATTTTAGGGAAACAGCAAGGCTGTCTCATAGCTTTGGACATGGACGAGACAGGAAGAAAAGAGCATATTCCCAAAAGGAGGAAAGCTTTACGGTACTTGAAGATCATATTTAGATAATCGGTTTAAATTTCGATGAGTTACTACATTTATGAAGTACATATATGGAGAAACCCATGAAATTCTAAAAATAACTTTTGTTAGTGAAACTGAGTGTCACAATGCTGAGGCCAAGGTTGATGACTGAAAACTCGCGTCAGGGAACGAGGTATGTGGCGGATCACTCACAGGCCTTAGAATCTGTTTTCACGCGGCTCAAAATCACAGCTATCCGTCCGGGGCTACAGGGTCATCGTGCTGTACAGTAGATCAATATATGAAATTATGCAAACTGCTTACTATGTATGGATCCGCAGTGCATGTACGGTGTTTACGTTGTTTTTAGTCGCTGCGCACTGAAACACAGCTGACACGTTATTCCTACTTTCAATTTAAATGTCTCAATTGGTAAATGAATAAAGCCGGTATTTTGGGGTTATCGGAGTTCTCCTTTATCTCTTATCATTTCTTTCTGGACCCCAGTCTACAAGAGTGATAAGGAAAAATGTAGAAAAAAGTTCAAATGCTAAAAATGAAACCGAAAAAGACCAGAGACTGAGACAACCAATTCTAGGTGAAGGGGTAGGACAGAAAACGATCTATGCTGTGTGATGCGCCACCTTAGATATGACGTAAAAAACAAGAGGAGTACACTCACGCAACAGAGGCGGAATTCTGAATTAAACTTAGGTCAAGACTATGTAATTTCAAATGAAAACACTCAGAGTACTCGGAAAATGGCATGAGACGCATATGCGCATATGTTAGGTCATTCACTATTTACTGTTCAGCACATGCGAGGGTGGTTTAATACAATATTGTGCATGCATTATACACAACTACATTTCCAAACTGCTTNGGGGGGGGGGGGCAACAAAGATGCGGTAATATGTGGCAAAACGGATGAACATATTATGAATTACCAAATAACTCACTTATCTGGAGTTTCTTCTGCAAACCACAATTCCACGCAAAGGAAAATTTCCTGTTTTATAATCGATTCGTCCAGTTTGGTTGGATCCACTTGGATCAATATTCTTTGTTCGAAAACGTCATTAAGTTTCACGGATTCTTCACGGTACATAATTTTCAGTGTCTTACTGCACATTTTATCAGGTAAATAAACCGGATTGGTCTGACGAGGCTCGATGAACGAGGGGTGAACAGCCTCGGGAACAAGCATGCGAGAATTGGAACGCTTCCAAACAGTGGGCGGTTCAACAACAGCACTGTATTTGGATGGTGGTTGATTGGCCGTGACGGCAGTATTGGACTGTCCATTGGTCTTGAAGTACGCACGGATCTGATAGAAGCTAACATCATGAATAGAAAGGCAACGTGATGGTATACTTACCCACGATGGTACAAGTCCACATTGTGAAATTCACCCAGCTCCAAGACAAAAGAAAGAGTCGCCTGAACTACAGGCATATTACATCAGAGCAGCCCGTGAGTTGAATGCCTACATCAAATGAACCACCGTGTAAGGAGAAAATAAGAGTAAAAAAGCATGTAGTGAAGCGTGTCAGAGGGGAGTACATTTACGTAAGATCCAGTTTATTAGTCCTACATTTAAAGAGTAAAAGATTGCAAGTCGATGGGAGTAGTAAGGGCAAGAGAATGCTTCATACGGAAACGGTTAGGGTGAAAACCATATATATATATATATATATATATATATAACCGGCTTGAGGACAAGTATGGTGCCCATAAAACAATGATAATAATGGTAGGAATGAATACAGATAAATGAAATGAAAACGGAAGAGGGAGACAAAAAATGGACGAAAAACGTTTGCTAATTTTCACCGTACCCACTGATTCCTTTGTCTATTATGGGAAACGGAGCTTTGACAAACAAACCGCACAACAATCGCGCCTCTAACTTCTATCTTGAGCCATAAATTTCAGCGTTTCTAACCGTCTGTCAGTACCTAATGCACAATTTATGAATAATGACGGGCGCTAACAGCTTCAACGCTAATGGGATCAGGCTTATTCTCCTACGGTTGGTGCAAACATGGCGCGAGCCCTTTCTACAGATGGTAACAATAGTTGAAAAGTAAGACTGAAAGAGGTCAGAANTATAGAGTTCAATCTGATAAGGAGGCTTAGTTGTCTGTGTACGGGATGAGTGGGTAAAAGTAGAGGGAAATGAAACTAGCAAGACGAGCTTCGAAAAAAAGTGAATAAACGGTCGAGGACAGACAAAGGAGCGACCGTCCCTCACGATCGGTTAGGGACTGCAGATTGGAATTTGGGGAGGACTGCCGATCAACCGAGTGGCCTTTTAGTAAACGCTACTAGGGAGGGGAAAGAGCAGAAAACGAAACCCTGCGAGATTGTAACACCGAACTACAGGGAGTTTTTGAGCTGTTTACAGTAGGGTGAAGCATATGATACGGAGTAGAAATCCAACATGGCGAGCAGCATGAAAAGTAAGCTGAAACAGAAAGGGGAGAGCATAGTGAAGAAGCTATAGGTAATTCAAGAAAACAAACAGATCGCGAAAAAGAGGTTAGACGGAAAGAAAGGACCAATGTAGGTTTAATGAATGGTGTTTGAGAAAAACCGATGGGGCTTTGTAAACCTTGAATGCAACGTGATTGCGATGACCCCATGAGATGTGTTCCAGGCAGGAGTCCGGTGACACAATAACTACACCAGGGTCACGATCGATGCTGGTACTGACATAGCGAGAAATGCGGTTAGGGGAGGAGAAATTGAGAGCAGCGTTATCGGCAAAGACATGGATTGGGTTGACAGTTTCGGAAAGGGGATCATCGATAAATAGGAGGGCGGGTGCAAGTACTGATTCTCGGAGAACGTCAGGCAACTGCTAATTTATTACTCTAGCAACTCAGATGGAGATGTTTTGCTTACAGAGGGAACTTAATACTCATGATGGTAAAGCCGGAGGAGACCCGAAAATGAACAGTTTCCCCAGTACACTTTTGTTCCAAACCATGGAGAAGGCTGCAAAAATAGTGGGCTGGATCAGGTGTTTTCTCATTTTTTTTCCAATGAAACCGACCAGGAGTGAGAGAAGATAGCCAGCAAGTTACCGGTACAACGACACCGTCGAAGGCCATATTTGCGGTCCTCCACGTTCGAGGAAAGCGCGCAGTTGGTCGGATATGATGGTTTCCAATCCTTTCGAAAGGACAGACGTGAGGGAAATGAGTCGGCAATTATTGGGGTCAGAAATTTCACCGAGGTTTTGAATGGGGGAAATCACGGTTTGTTTTGAAGGGATCGGAAAAGTATATAAAAGTAGGATGGAAAGACCGAAAAGATGGTGTAAAACAAGGGTTAATCGGGCATCAATAATGTTGAGTATCTGGTGGCTTTCATGCGCTCAGAGAGAGTAGTTAAGCAGTGTTCTGGCCTTTGATTTGCATCTTATAGAACGGTAAACTTTGGTCACTAGAACAATTTCCCAAGCAGAGAGAGGCTCGTGGACCACGATTTTCCGCATACTTGACACTCACTAGACCCCGGATTCTGCAATCGGAGTTATTTAAAACAGCGTAATACTTTGAGAGACAGTGAATCGTTGCTTGCAATGGGTTACGAGAAGATAAGAAACGGGGAGGAATATGAAACAAAATTATTCCATCCTGTTGATCGCCAACATTGTACTCATTTTGGATGAGTGCTTCGAGGATCACAGAACAGGAGAACATGTATAATGCGGGGTCAAAACCTTTTTCTTGACGTTTAGTGGCTCGCCGAATTCAGTGCGAGAACTCCAATCCGACCACAGAAAAAACTCGCAATATAAATGTCACCCATGGCGTGAAAATGAAAGTGATAGGTAACCAGACCAAAAGAATCTTGGGAAAATGAGTGATGTCACAGGAATACCATGACTCCATTTTAAACAACTTCTATGAAAATAACCTTGGCGGTTGTCTAGATCCCAAGCAACACAACAATGGACGATCATTGTACAGCGTAATACAGTGAACAATTAATAGAAACAACTACGGGATGTAATTAACGGTATGGAAGAGCACCATTTTTTTGTAACGGGGACCAGAATGTTAGTACAGATTCTTTAGACTAATGAATGGTGTTGGTCAGCTTCGCTGTCGTTCGGCTGAATACCAAGCCGTATGTGATTCACCACTCCAAGTCCCGGGGCTTAGGTTACTAGTTTTCATGAACGAACAAAATGCCCTCATGAGTATTGAGTTTACACCGTCTGTATTTCAGTGCCAAAATTGTGTGATAAAAAAACTAACAGAATAAAAGTGTGAAAATAACGAGCTTCTCATCAGGATTCTTGAATTGAAAAATTCTAACCATCTCTCATTTAAAACATGTGTCAGGCTTGTCATGCAATAGAAATGCGCTTCCAGCACATAAATGCCTTTGAGTGACTAAATATCCACCTCTTTTTACCATATCACTTTTATTGATCTGTACAGATTAGAAAATAAAACAGTGAAAACAACTGTTTACCTCAGAACGTGTGTTCTCAGAGCAAATACTGGCATTCGCAGTTCGTGCCCCAGCCACCTCAAACGGTAAAGCGAAACGGTCTAACTCAAATGTAGGCTAATTCCGAAAATACGTCGTTTGATATCACTGTTACTCAAATGATGTCCACAAACGCGGGAGATGCTGCGCAAGCAGTTTGTTAAAAACAGATAGCTGTTAGTCATAATGTGATCGAAGAGGCCACGTTTCGCAACCGCAGAGCAAAGCAGCATGCATCGTTGCGCCAAACATGCCCTTCCAGTAGAAGCCTCCCGTTACACTAATACCACATACGTTGAGTATCAGTAAACGATAACCTTACTTTAATCATGCGTTGGCAGATCTCGCTCACGTACACACCGATGTGCAACTTCCGAGATAAACAAAGCATTCTACCGCTTCCAGCATATCATGACCAAACAACAGTTTAGGCACAAGCTCCTGCCAGCTTGCAGGAATATCTTTCATTTTCAAGGTGCAAAGCATATGCTACACTGGACAACCTCAATTGCCAAGCGGTTTACAGCGTCTTGCATCGCCTGTGTAGAGTCACCGAGTGGGACAGTATCACCGGCCTACTGCAATTCTACAACGCTGTATCCAACCTATCGGGGCCTTATGTGGTTCGCTACTCCAAGTTCCGGGGTTTAAGTTACCCGTTTCCATGACGGAGCAGCAGGTCTTCGTGACTATGGGGTTCGCCCCGTCCGCTGTTCATCACACAAAGGTGTGTAATAAAAGAAATTTAAAAAATTCCAGGATGAAGCAAAACGCCAGAGCCAGGATACTTTTCGCAGGACCTTACCTAAGGCCAAGTTAAGATAAACAGCGAGACAGGGAAAACTTATGACAACCCATTGGTGACGGGTAAATTTACCTTAATCCTTAGCCTTCCGCGGAGTCTGACGATTGCTTTTAGCGACTGGGAGTTCATTTGCATAATAAAATTTAGAGCGCTATCGGCATTAAATCTATGCCCCTGTGATTGTAACAAATACGGATAGACTTCCTCGAAAATAGATGTAACATATGCTGGAGGCAACAAGGCTTCCTCCCATACCTTTGTAAGCATGTTGGTAGGCTTTTTCACGAGAACTCCATCATCATTGAAAATGACCGGCGGTAAATTGTTTGGTACGGAAGCCATATGGCGTCAGTGACGGCCAGTGGCGTTGGTTATTTTAAACTTTTCTATTGTTCGGAAAGTTATCTCGGTTAGCAAAAATTTGTTTAAACAGTTGAAAAACCTTAGATCCAAAACAACATTTTTCTGAAACTTCATCATTGCACATGAAAAGTGATATGAGAGTAGGAATAACATAATCAATCTTTTTGAATCTATTATGTGATGACGATATCAAGATGGTCAAATATTAGATGCACTTATAACCCACGCCACCCATCCATCCATCCAAAAAAGGAATGTATACACCAAATATAGGTAATTACCACAGCCGTGCATTGAACAAAAATGAAGCGATATTCGCTGAACGCTGCTGATTTCACCTAATAAACAAACTCATTCTTGACCGTATAACCGAAGTGTGCTTACCAATCGCGAAGTAGTACTACAATTAATACGACTGGAAACTTCACGCTGGAATTGAGTTTTGCCATCTTTTCATGAGAGTATAGTAAGAAACTTTACTAAAGTAGACTATTTAGCTCAACAGATCGGACATCATCGGAATTACAAACGTCTGAACAATCGGATTCGAGGTCGAACAGGGACCAAAAGGTGGTAAACATTCTTCAAAGATAAACAAGGAATTGTATAAACAAGCGTGGTCATGACAAGAAAATCAGTGCACTTACGCGTTATTTTTATTACAAAAACAAAGTAAAGGGAGAAGAATCCCATAATCCGTCGAATTTCTGTATATGATATCATGAATGGAACATTTAACCTGGAAAAATCTTATTGATTTTGAGTTTAAAAGTAAGTA